GGCCGTGAAAGCCTTCGACAATACATAAAACTCGTTCTGTTTGCAAACGAGAGCATCGAAAAAAACTGCAGCAGCGCACGATTCTACACTTTCCTACTTCTTGGAACCGGAGAAAGCCTGGAAGGACGGCGACGGTTTGCGCATGCGGAGTAGAACTTTGAGTACGTCCATTTTGGGATCACATGATGGGGGCGACCAATCAGGCCCCCGTGAATCTTGGCGGCGACCAATAGGAGTGGCGTGCTCCTAATAGGTTTTAGGGCGCCAAGATTGGATTCGTCCGGGGTGGTGGTGTTGGGTAAGGAGCGAAAGGCTCGTCCGCGAACGGGGAGGGAGGGAGGTCGCACGATATGGGTTCTCACGTACACGCGTTCGAAGCCCGGGAGCGGGAAATCGACGCTCGGAGCTTGGTAACAGTCGCCCCGAGTTCAGCCTTTCAAGCAAGCTGGGACTGTGGCGGCGGCGGCCGCGAGAGAGCCTCACTGGCAGCGCATAGCAGTAAAGGGCTCGCTTGCCTGCTGGGCCTCCTCCGTTATCCTGCCCTGTTGTAGTCATAGCAGACTTCGTCTTGCCCATAAGAAGCCCTTTTTATTTATTTGTTTTGGTTGGTTGGTTGGTTGGTTGGTTTATGTATCCCACCTTTCCTTCAGAAGCGCCTGAAGGTGAACATAGTGCTGCCTCCTCCTTCCCCCCCCCCCCACAATGACGACCCTGTGAGGTAGGTTGGGTTGGGAGAGAGCGACCATCCCAAAGTCATTCAGCGGACTGGAACCTTGTATGAAATACTCCAAAAATGAAAGAAAGCCACTTCAACGCTCTGTTCCTGCTGGGAATCAACGGTCCTGCTCCCCTAGATGTGTATCCAAGGAGCAAAAGGTGGTGTGCATAGCACCCTCTTCTCCATTTATTGTCAACAACAATCTTCTGAGGTAGGTAGGGTTTAGAGAATGACGGGCGCAAAGTCACCCAGCGAGTTTCCATGAGTGAAGATGGAGGACAGGTAAAAGCTATTCAACACTTTAACTGTTATACTACTCTATACTTACAGTGACCATATTTTCCTGGAAAAAATAAAGGACAAACCTGGGAAAGGGGCAAATCTGAAAGAGGTTCATAAGGATAAAAAAATTAATTCTGTTTATAACTTTGCTTTACAAAGTTTGCTACCTATATTCAGCTTCAGGTAGAAACTTGGCAGGTATTCACTTTTCCTGTGGCACCTGCGACCATGCCTCCCTAAGACTCCCTCAATGTCAGGATTCTTCTCTTTTAGCTTGGCACTTAACCTGCAATGGCTGCCCTCAGGGAACGAATTGAAGATATGGAAGAAGTGAGCAAGGAACTGCTCAAATTGATGACAGGGGGCAAGGCGATGGACATGCTTAAGCACAATCTGGCCCAACAGGAGCAAATGATTGACAAACTCTTGGATACCCAGAAGACCACAAAACAGCTGATCAGAGGTACTTCTTGGCTTTTCCTGACTTAGCCCTGCACAGTCAAGACTTCTTTGGTGTGGTTGTCGCTTAAGGAGGAAAATGTAAACTTAGCCACTGACATTAATCTGAGCAGAACTTGCCTAACCTTCATGTAAATCATGTGTTTTTAAAAAGTAGGAAATGCATTAGAATGAAACAGAATTCTTTTTAAAAAGGGGGAGTAAAGTTATGATCATTGCAGTAGACAAAACAGTAAAGAGTCCAAGGCCTCATGATATTTGACACTATAAGTAAAATATAGCAGGGTAATTAGGATCACAGCCCAGTACTGTATCTATAATTTTCTGATTCTATGCTCATTTTAAATTATTTTGACAGGAATAACCAATGCAACAAATAAGCAATTGGTTATCAATGAATCTTAGAAGTTATTGTTTTAAAATAAATTGTGTTTTGCAACATTTGTTGTATAAAATTTGTTTTGACTTTTATTATAACTTTGAAAAACAGTGCCTCAACTTGGGGTCTGATATGTTGAAAATAGAGTCTTATTTTGGTAGATGTAAGCAGTCTATAATGATTTTACCAAAAAAAAGTCATTATAACATTTGAATTATACATCTCCAGGTTGAAAAGATTTACCACTATGTGTCTTTGGTATTGTAATATGAATCAGAGGTATTATTCTCCTTTGTGTTTTTCTTTAAACATTATTTCTATAGTATTCTTTTAAAACAAGAAGGGGGGAGGTAATATATTTGCACAATCTGAATATTCTTGCAAGTATTGTTTCATTAGCTTGCACCAGTAATTTAAGGACATAGAAAAAATGGTACTGAATGGATCTGTTGATATGATTTAATCAACCTTCCCTCCAGCTTGGGACATTTATTGAAAGAGCTTGCTACGTAACTGAGACTTGTTGGTTCTGAATTACATCATGAGGGGATGGGGAAAAGGATAGTGCTACAATTTGTTTTCACTTTAAGGCAGAACTGAACTATCTTTTTTGTTTGTTTTTTCTATCAAGAGTTGCATTTCACAGAGGCAGTCTATTAATGTATAGGACTAAAGCAGAAGGGGAAAGGAAAGGAAAGGAAAGGAAAGGAAAGGAAAGGAAAAAGAAGGCTCTCGCTAGAGTTCAAACTGATCATGTGAGAAGGTTAAAAGTAGGCCAAAGGGGGTGTGTGTGATTTTAGGGCCACAGTTTACCCATTCTTACATTGCTAAACTCAAATATTAAACTAATCTAGGGGTGCTTATTTGATAGGTTCCTAATACATTGAATGTGGATTATGGCTATGTACCAAGTGGAAAACGTGTGTTGTTTCAAACATGAATCAAATTGTAATGTTCTGGAAGTTCTACCAAACTATTTTGAATTGGCCACAGTTTGGCAGGAAAAAAGTTGGAATGTTTTGATTGTTCCCTGTTTCATTTGTAGCAAAATCTGGAGGAATATCCCTGAGAGATGTTATGGGGCAAGTCATGCAAGGCTGGTGTATGTCACCCTGGCTTAGAGAAGACAGGGCCTCTGGTGTGTGCAGGAAGCACCATGGAGCCTCCTAATATGGTAGTGGTTATACAACTGAATAACCACTGAATAATGCATAACCACTGAATAACAGTGGTTATTCATTTCTTGTTGTCCTTTTCATTTTTCACTGCTTTCTCCATTACCATTATTGTCACTGCCATACATTGCCATCAAAGAAACCCCTCAGCCTTTTTTCCCCCTACTCTTCCCCCACCTCCCACCCCAGAAATCTGCATTTTCATCCCTATTGTAAACAAGTAAGATCCATTTTGTCACACAGACCAAAAAAGCATGCTTTAGTTTGGACATGGACCATTTGAAACCAACTGTTCTTTATAAGGTATGGTTTGTGCATGGAACATTCTGCACATCCCTGTGCAGGGATTCTGGAACATTCTGTACACAATTCTGCACGTGGATTATTTTCCTCAAACTGGTGTTGCCAAATTGAATGAACTGTTGCCATACTAGTGAGGATTATGAGAAGACTACAATAGTGTGTTTGGAGATCATCAGATTGAAAAAAAACTGATATAGTATTTCAAAAACCATTGGCTGCACTTAAAATAAAGCCCAGAATGATGAGGGGATTTGTAGATTTTTTTAAAATTCTTTCTCCTGCCTTTATTATTTTCATAAATAACTCAAGGCAGTGAACATATCTAATACTCCTTCCTCCTCCTATTTTCCCCATAACAGCCACCCTGTGAGGTGAGTTGGGCAGAATGACTGGCCCACAGTCACCTAGCAGGCTTTCATGCCTAAGGCGCGACCAGAACTCACGGTCTCCTGCTTTCTAGGCTCTCCCCTCAAATTTGCTGAGTATTCTAATAGATGAGCAAGAAAACTAATGCTGAAATTCAGTTTTGTCAAGCAGCTATATTTTAACTGAAGATGTTCCCAAATTCTGCTTTCACTGTAGAGCTCATGATTACTGAGGAGAAAGTTGCACAGAGACTTTCTGACAGGGAAGAAGAGTTGAAGGTGAGTATCCAAAAGCTGCAGAAAACTGAAGAAGAATTGCTTCAGGCAAATGAAAAAGATGAAAATCTGAGGATCAATACTAAATATCCTTCCATGTCGGCTTCTGGTGCTGAGTTAAAGCATCTTCTAACATGATCTCACTCCCTCCAGACTAGGTATGTCTGAAACCTAACATTTAATTCCTTCTCTGGGCTGCACCTTTCAGGACATGGTTTGGTGGTTTTCTAGAAGCTAATTCTCCAAACTGGAAGAAGTTCATGTCTGGAACAGCGCAGACCACTTTTGGTTTGGAGAATTAATTTCTGAAAAACCACCAGTCCATCTCCAGAACAGCTGCACTGATGTGGTCCAGAGAAAAAACTGATAGGATGGTACATCTAAGCCATGCCATAATACAATGAAACACTGGCTCAAGTCAGCTGTGGCCTGAGAACATCCAAAAGGGAAAATTGGATTTGTTTTCAGTGTTCAACTTGCATCCAGTAAGCTGAGTGTTTTGAGCTTTATTTAGACTTGTGCTGGACCCCAAAGTCAGTATACTTTGGCAGACATCACCTCAGTCGTAGTTAGGGTGCACAACAGAATCAGTTCGAAGCCATTACAATGGCAGGTAAGTTGCAGAAAGCAAAGTACTGCCAGAGAAGGGAATAAACACTAAGGAGCACAGGCAAAAAACAAGTTAAAAACAAGCTCTCTTTGTCCAGATTGCTGCCTTGTACAGTACAATTTCCTGGAGAAAGCAGCAAGTTTGTCTTAAATCAACCATTGTTAATATGGTATGCCGGAAAAGGTGATGTAATATATGTAAACCAACATGGTAAGTTTCTTAACTATGAACTTTTATCTCTGCTGTTGAGAACAGCCTGTGATCAGAATTCAAAGCACTGTTTTGGTTGTACTGCCCTAATTTGGGATTAAGGGGAAATTTTCCCTATATTTCTGGTGTCACAAACAGGAAGCCCAGTATCTGAGCTGGCTGAGATGGCTTTTTGGCTTGGCAGAGGTTGTGCCCCATTATGCTTCATGGCAGAGGAGGCATAGTTTTCAAGATGTTGAAGCCAGATAAGTAGTCGGTCCAGTTGCTTTTGACTGTTTAGCTGCCTATCTACCCTTGGCTCTCCTTGGTACAAGGTGATCTGACAAATGTGTGTGCGCGCGCATGCATGCTATCATAAATAAGTGCCCCTCCATTAATCAGAGCTGGACAATTTGCTGAACCCAGGCGCTCCATAACTAGCTGAAGGATCATGATCTATGGTGTTTTGAAATCAAGGGAGAGTAAGTTTTGTGCCCCAACAGGAGGCAAGAGCTGAAGCCTTTATTACTAATAAATTGGGTAGACTGACGTGTATTACATGTCCAAGGTGGAAATAATCTCTGGGGCACATTTTCCCATGCATATTACATGTAATTCCCCTGCTGTGATAGGACAAGTACAGGTGAAAAAAGGGGACAGGAAGAGAGAGTGCTGGGTTATGTTGTGGCTTAATAGGGATATTGCTGAGACTGTGAGCCTAGGAAAAAAAAGGAAGGAGGAAAATAGCAAAAAGTTAAAAAATGAAAAAGGAGCAACTCTTCCCCCCCCAAATCCCAAAGTAGCTTTGGAATTTGTCTTCTATCACAGGGATATTTTGACAAAGGCAGGTTTGTACTATCTGTGCTATGTTGTGCTGTCTGTGGTTTGTGCTATCTGCTGTGCTGTGGTTGGCTATCTGTGCTAAACTGTGCTATCTGTGGTTGGTCTCTTCAAAAGGGTTGAGGCAGTTTTCTCTGGTTGAGACATTTCACTGAATTATTTTGCTCAGATTTTGATTCTGTTGCAAAAGACAGCAGGGACAGCCAATGGATCAGTTGGTGCTGAAGTGTACCTACTGCCTTAAGTGGTAAATACCAAGGATAGAAAGATTTCCAGGCACTCATTTTGGAATTTGCTTTTGGATCCCCCACAATACTGAAACTGTTACTGATGGAGTATTATTAAGAGCTCTGTTGGCTTGGAGAATTAATTGGATTCCTTCACTCACACAATATACTGAATTAAGAAAACAGCTGGAGACATTGAGAGAAGAAAGCAGACAGCAGCAGCAGAACGCAGCAGAAGAAGCTGACAGGTCTACGTCAGCTACGTGAGTAAAATCTTACCTAATCTGATTTGCAGAAGATGAATTACTGGGGAGGAAATAAGACTAGGGTACTCAGCTTCTACCTTGGTTACCAAACTCCTTTATGCATGTAGTTTGAGTTGGGCAGCCATATAAACATTCTAAATTAGTAAATTGATTATCAAACATGGCACCACAAAAACCCCCAGTAAGTTAATGTATGTGATTCCCCCAAATTTGCTCATGTTCTGCCAGGGATGCAACATGCAGTTTGAGAATCTTTGCTCTTAAATTATGAACTTGAGTAAAAATATACATTTGTAGACACTATAACTAGCTAATACATGCAGAATACTTGGAACGCTTGCATGCTTTTAAAAAAAATGTATGAAGTTGCACAATGGGAAAAGAAAGTCTTTAAACCAGGGTTCCCCAAACTCTTCGGTTCATCAACCCCTTAATGAAGTTTCAGATTGTTCATCAATCCCCAAACATTATATGAAAATAATTTAATAAATACTACTTTAACTAATAGTACTACTACTAGTAGTAGTAATGGATCCTTTGGATAGTCCCATTGATCCTTGGGAGTTGATATAGACTGTTTTGGGGAACCTGCTTTAAATGAAAAGCACAGCAGCACTCCAGGAAATCACTACACAGCCAGTCTTCCCTTGCTTCGCATTTTCCAGATTCATTAGGCATGAGACCTGTCATCACTAGCCAACATAGCCTATGAGCAGATTTCAGCAATTGTAGATTTTGATAGGCTATAGTACAGGCAGTATTGGGTTGTATGGGTTAATAATCTGAGCCAGGATGAGCAACTCCTTATGTTTTGTTATATCTGGCAGGTATCTTGTACATCTTTATTACCAGATCTGCCACATTGACTGGGACTATTCCTGTGAGCCAACCCTGATCAAAGGAAGTATCCTTCCATTCCATGGAACTGGGGGCTGGGCCAGGGGAAGAAACATGGATAATTTTTTCCTTAACCCTATTTTTTTGTTCTCAGCCCATTATGGACCAGATATTGCTCAATCTATTAACCTCGACAGTAGCCAGCATTCTCCCTGCTTTATCAGTGATTACCTCTGGAACCTGGTGAATACATCCTGGTGAATAAGGCGGCTTTTGGCAAACAGTAAACAATGTAGTAGATATTCCCAGAGGCAAGAAATATTTCAGTGGCTCCTTCTGTGTTATGCTTTTTGGCAGAGCAGTATTCTGGAGAGTGTTAACGGAATAAATACAGACTGAAGCAAAATAAACATTAATACTAATCACAAAAGGTGTTTTATTAATGTGAGAAGTAGAACTTCAAAACCAGTTTCCTAAGAGGTACCACCCATGGGTAAGGGGAAAAATGCAGGTCGCAGTCTGGGTAAGCCCTTCCTTATGGGATAATAGAAAAGCAGCATAAGCAAAGGTCCACCTGAGGTCTTCAAGTTGTACTGATCAGTGTTCACTTACCTGCAGATCATCAGTCACAGAAGAGTGCCCCATAAATTTCTCTCCCTCTCATCCCTCCCCATCTGCACCTTGACAAACTTGCCAAGCAAAAAATTAACCTGCCAAACCGTATGAATAATACACATTTCTAAGGAGGGCTCAGGGCTGCACTATGTACAAAATACTTCCACCTATCCTGATTTGGAGATCATTTCCTGAAGGTCCGTTCACTGCCAGAGGCCAGAAAAGACTTGCCCAGTGAGAATCAAGCTCTCCTGCAGTTCTCCCAGAGAGGTTCCCTTCTTCACGGATGCATCTTTCCCAGACTGAGCAGGAGCAGTGTGGAAAGGCAACAACAAATTTACCACAGCTATCCTCTTAAAGCACAGTAAGAGCTGTTCTTCATTGTTGTTCCCTCAAAGCCGGTTCAATTGGGATTTGAAGTGTTTCCCATCCTTTTGGCACTTTTCCTTGATTCTGGCAGAATACAACTTGGCAGCAGGTATTCTATAATACTGAATCCTCTCCTACTTGTTTTCCCCCTTCCATCTGAAGGGAAGTGCGGCATTCCTTGTTACCATTAACAATGGCATTTTTGCTGATCCATTTGTTTGCAGCATGGCTCCATGGTAATGGCCACGCCTACTCCACTACGACCTGATGTCATACGAGTTACTTCAGTCCAAGTATCCGTGGTGGAGTCATAACATTCAACACTATCCAGAAATGTTTGCCCATCATAGCCACCTGCAGGAAGACAATCAGCAATTAATCCAAGATGGGCCAGAGGCTATTTCAAGTCCCATGACTTGAAGGGAGAACACGGAGCTGAATCAGTAGCAACCCTCCCCCCAACCCCTTGCCTTCCAGCTGTGCAGGACAGAGTTGCACTCACACAGTACAGCTCTGGTGATTCCCTGGATAGAAAATAGTTCTATTAGGCAAAAGGTAACAGCCAGCCATGTGAAATCTCAGCAACAAGGAAAGGAGGGAGGAAGATTCCTAGCAATCATTAGCACTTAAGACTTCTAGTGGCAAAGCTTCTGCCTCTTGCTAGCATGAATCCTGCTGCTTTGGCCATATCCATTGTGTGTTCTGTAAGGTGGCTACTTACATCTGCTGTGCTGAATGAGGCAAAACTTAGATGGCATCATATAAACAAGAATATAAATGACCCTGAATTATAGTTATTATGGAATGTCATGTTTGCCCTTGGTCCTTTAATCAAGATTTCCAGGAGCCTGGAAACATTTCAACACATACACATGGAGGGAATCTTACCCCAATTGCTATTTGGGAGTAAAGTGTGAACATTAGTAGAGCACTCCTACACACATCTACATCACTGATTTCAACCCATGTAGCCCAATGTAATGTACTTGAGAGCTCAGTAAACTGTCCAAATAAATATGTGCAAGAATAGTTATATCAAATAAAATCTGGCTTTTGCTTCCACCTCATTAACAAAAGTGAGCTAAGCCAGCTCTGGACTGAATGGCCATAGTTTGTGTACTTTCCCACATCCAGCTGAGAGGTACTTGCTATAGTCCCTGGCCAAACATACCTAGCACGTAGATCTTCCCTTGGTATACAGTGACCCCAAGTGCGCTCCGACGGTGCTTCATGGGTGCGACAAAAGACCAGGTGCTCACCTCCACATCATAGCGCTCCACGCTGTTCAGCTGGTTTGTTCCATCATAGCCCCCCATGGCATATATGCAGTTATTCAGAGCACAAACTCCTGCATTGGAAAAGAACAGCATTAAAGACAGGCATGACTTATTCCAACAGTCTCAGGATAACATTCTCAGGGTCAGGACCTCTTGCAATCTTAGGCCAGCAGTGGAAAGCCTGTGATTTTGGATATTTTTTGGAATACAGTTATCATCATTAGTCTATTAACTGCATCTAGGGCTAGGCTAACAAGTCTAGCAATGCCTGGACGACTGCAGATCTTTTCTGTCTGTCCTGGGCAACAATTCTCAAGTAGAAGGCAATGTTATTCTTGGACCCAGAATGTACCATTTTTTTGGTAGGAAACAGCAGCAAGGAGACATCTACACTGCTGCCTTCTCCTTGAATGCAGGGAAGTCTCCCCAAAGCATTAGAGTACCATGGAATTAGCAGGCATATGGTCTCTACTCTTGCTGCAGCCAAAATCAACTTCTGGTACATTTTCAATTCAGGTTGAGAACTTCAGCGTAGAACTAATTGGACAACTATCACCAGTTGAGTATTGAACAATAACCCACCATGGCCCAGAGTTTATTTTATTACAGGTAGTCCTTGGCTTATACCCATTCGCTGTTCAAGTCATTAGTGTGGGCACTAGATACAGACCAACTCTGGTTTTGTAGATATTGTTTTTTAGCTTTTGTAAGCTGCTTCAATTTGCTTGATTGGAGTGGCATAAAAAGACTTACAATTTCAAAGTGAAATTTTGTTTTTAACTAATTTTATGATTATTCACCGCCCAGAGTCACTTGTTGAGATGGGCAGCCATACAAATTAAATGAATGAATAAATGAATGAATCTACATTTACAACAAATTCATCAATAATATGATTAATAATAATATGATGGATGAATGAATAATGAATAAAAGCCAGTTTGGTCTAGTGGTTAAGGCACCAGGCTAGAAACTGGGAGATGGTGAGTTCTGGTCCCGCCTTAGGCAGGAAAGCTGGCTGGGTGACTTTGGGCTGGTCACTCTCTCTCAGCCCAACTCACCTCACAGGGTGGTTGTTGAGGGGAAAATAGGAAGAGGAAGGAGTATTAGGTATGTTTGCTGGCTTGAGTTATTTATAAAAATAATAAAGGCTGGATAAAAAAAAATAAAAAAAAGAACAGAACACTAATAATCAGCATTCCCTCCCTCTTGTCCACAATTCATTGACCCTTGAATGTCCACTTAAACACTCTTCACAAGCTTTCTTAATGTTAACAACAAGGATGTATATCTTATTTTGGGGAGGCAACCGATTCCATAAGAGGGATGCTCTGGCACCGAATGCTGCCTTCTGGGACTCCTCCTGCCCCACCTCATAGGAAGCGCGGATTCTCAGTATGCCCTCTTTACTGGCATGCCTTGGGCAGGCAGAATCTATTTGGAGCAAATAGTCTCACACATATCCAGAACCCAAGCAACTTTATAAGTTATTTATTTGTTAAATTTGTACACTGCCCGACTCCCCTCAATTGGAATTACCGACTCAAGATGGATAGGAACCACTGCAAAACTGCCGCCTATCCTTAACTCTCAAAATGGCCCAGAAGGCTACCGTGGGCAAGGTTACTGAAGGCCACTGAGATGTCCAAGAGGCCAAGTAAGGCTGTGCTCCTCCTATATAATTTCTACCATATGATAGCAACTAGTGCACTTTCTGTTTCATGCCTGGGCTCTGATCCCCGACTGAAAATAGTCCAGATAATCCACTTCTTCCAGAGCCTTTGTAACTGCTATCCCACCACTTCTCAACAACCTTCTCCCCAAAAGGGAAGTTACAGATGGGGCTGTAGTTGTCCAGGAAGCTAGATCCAAGGTCAGCCCCTTGAGAAGATGCATCAGAGGGGTCTCCCCACCTCACCAGGGCTTTGATCTAGCTCCTTATCCTTAGCAGCTTGTACAAGTCAAGCCCAAAGGCAGTAGAGCTCATTACACCAGGAACTCTGTTCACTTTCTCAAGATTAATTAGACTACTGCAATGTGCTACATGGGCCTACCCTTGAAGAGTATCTGGAAGCTACAGCTGGTGCAAAATGCAGCCACATGGGCAATTTTGGGTGCCTCAAGGATGACATATGTAACACCTTTGCTGCGGGAGCTGCGTTGGGTGCCAGTTTGCTTCCAGGTCCAATTCAAGGTGTTGGTTATCACCTTTAAAGCCCTACATGGCATGGGGGTAGCTGAGGGACAGTTTCATCCCCATTACATTGACCTGTCCCACTCGGTCAGGCAGAGAAGGTATGTTACGGACCCCATCTATGGCAGTATGTCAACTGGTGGGGCCCAGGAGGGGAGCCTTCTCTGCCATTGCCCCTGCCCTATGGAACACTCTTCCCCCAGCGGTGAGGTGGGCCCCTACTCTCCTGGCCTTGCGGAAAGGGCTGAAGACCTGGCTCTGCCAACTTGCATGGGGCGAGAGGGAATATAACCAACCCAGGGGGTGGCTAGTGCCTTGAAGACACTCCCCAAGTCTAATAACTCCTTGGAAGATATTATTCATATAAATATAGGAAGTCTTCTTGTAATGTATTGTAACTAATGTATTTTAATATTTATTCTATTTTAATTAATATTTATTCTTTTTACTGTAAACTACCCAGAGTCATTCTGAGATGGGTGGTGACAAATTTGAAATATTAATTAATTAATTAACAGGCTCAAACTTCCCAGATGATATCATAAGCCATTACATCTTTGAATTCTGTGCTGCCAGCATCTCACTCTGTTTGGATTTTATATGCCAAGTACTTAGCTAACATATCACAGCAGCCACCCACTAGGTCTTCCTGCCCATTTCCGGATACCGCTACCATCTCTGGCAACAAAGAACATAGTCATAGAACCCAAATTTAACTCCTCCACAGGGTTTAGATCTAAATTGCAGAGGTGGAAGAACAAAATGAAAGAGAAGAGATAGCAGCTAGTTGTACTCTGAAGGTTCTCTGTTGCAGGTAGAGATGAGAAAGCCCAGGGGACAACTCCCCCCAGCCTTATTTATTTATTTTTTTTGGAAAAAACTGAAAATTTTGGGAAAGAATTAAAAAAAAATGAAACAAACCAACCAAGAACTGTTTTCTTTCAGAATTATGAATGTAGCATGACAAGGGGCTCCTACGTTGCTATCCTTTATTTCCCCCATATGGTGCCTACTAACTTGTAACAGGAATACTTCCTCTAGACCATTAGAACAGCAAAGGTCCTCAACAGAGGGAACAAATGGGACAGTATAACTCTGTGAGACCACCTTGAGCTCCTGAGCATAAGGTGGGACATAAATCTGACAAATCACGAAAGAAATGCAAGAGTGAGACAGATGGGTCCCCTTTTCCTCAAAAGAGTCAGGAGGAAGATCTGTGCCTGATGGGCTTGTGGGCTTGTCTAAGGCTGACCTTTTTATTTAGAGCTGGGGAGATCTGCCCTGGGCCCAGGCCTCAAAAAACAGAAGCTGCACAAAGGAGCTCCTGAAGTTTTTTTCAAGTTTTTAAAGTAAATGCCATTAGGAGACGTAATTAATAAAGGTAATTACTA